CATGTCTGTTCCATTCTTGAACCAACGGGGGAAGTATTTTCTTAGCGTAGCCCCTTTTGGCGTCGTCACCCACCGCTGGTTCCATTCCTTTAATGTGTTCTCTCGAAGAATCCTCTTCCATCCATTAGGGTCTTCACTGATCCTCACACGAAGATTCGCCGGTAGATCCACCAGGCCTTCCCTCTTCATCTTATGCCGAAGTATTCTTCTCGTAGGAGAAGATCAATAGGAGTAGTTCCGGCTAAGACTTGTACCGCCTCATGAGACACTGAACGGTACGCTCTAGTGACCCGCAGCAGAGCCATCCGCTGGATTGTTGCCAACCTTTTCTTCTGTTGGTGCGAGAGATGATGACTCCACGCAGGGGACGCATATCTCAGAATGCCCAGAATAACTCCTTTATAAATAGTCAACGTGGCTGGGTACCTGAGACCCCAAAAGGCGCCCCCGATGCGACTAAGTCCATTGAGAGCCAGGGCCACCCTACTTTTCATGTAGTCCAAGTGAGGCGTAACGTTGAAATTTCTCCCAATTCTTATGCCAAGGTATGTAACAGCCTCACTTGGACGTATCCTTTCTCCTTCTATTCTGAGAGTAATAGGGTGGGCCCTGTCAGTCTTACCTCTTAAAAGAATGGACTGGGTCTTAGCAGCCGCCATCTTCATCTTTTTTCTCTCGCACCATCCTCCTACGAGGTTGGCACATCGTTCAGCTTCTTCTTTTAACCTGGCTCTGCTGTTTGAGGCCACTACAACGGCCAGATCATCAACATAGGCCGTGGCGGGGAACCGCTCCTGTTCTAGTACCCCCAGCAACTCATCGAAGACTAATTTCCACAGGGCTGGTCCAAGAACCGAGCCCTGCGGACAACCTCTTTCCATCGACTCTTGTACTTCAAAGAAGCTACCTTTTATCTTCAATGTTCGGTCCTGGAGGTAGCTCCTTAAAAGATCATATAAGTTGCTGGGAGCCTCATACTTCTGCAACTGCTGGAGTACGCTCGGCCACCAGACGCTATCAAAGGCGGAAGATATGTCGAACAGGATAAGCATGACATACTTCTCCGCCTTCTCTTCAACGTCACGGCGCACTCTCAGCAGGGCATCTGCGGTTCCCCTGCCTTTAGTGGATCCGTACTGCCGTGGATGGCTAGCCCTAGAGAAGACTGGTCGTAGACTCATCATCAACAGGGTCTCCAATAATTTACTCATGATAGGGAGGAGGCATATAGGCCTATAAGATTTGGCTAATTGCTTGTCCTTGCCTCCTCCCTTGTAGAGGAGTCTAACATCAGCAATTTTCCAACTCTTAGGAAAGTATCCCCTGTCAGACAATCATTGAACAATGTCAACAGTCTCTGTTCAATATAGGGGATACTGTTCCTGAGGATTGCTGCGTCAATGGAGTCTAACCCAGGTGCACGTCCAGTCTTTTGCCTATCCACAGCAGCACGTAGATCCCATATGTCCCACGGTGGGCACAAGTCCGTACCAGGTGGGCATACCGTAGTGCGTCTTATAAATATTTCCTCTTCATTATCCTGGGACGAATCATCTCTGGGGTAGGTCTCAGCTAGGAACATCTTTGCAGTCTCTTCCAGAGTGGTTGCCTGGGAACATCCGCGCTCAAAGCTGCAATCACTTGCTGTGGAGCAAACTTACAAGGGCCACTCTGTAAGGTACACCCCAGGGATTCTTAGATGACTCTTGAACAATGAATTCGTCCCAAGACTTCCGCTTTCTTAACCGCACCTCGTTTCGGTATGCCCTGGCTTTAGACTTGTAATCATCACGAAGTGTAATGCGCCTCTCTTCGCAAGTACACTTCTGGTATGAACGCCGTGCCTTGTAGAGTTCTCTCTTCATTGTGATTAAGGCAGGCGTCCACCATGGGACAGGTCGAGCTCTCGTCTTCCGGTTGACATCAGTGATCCTGGACACTCGGTAATCCAGATCATCTGTTTGCTCCGTTTCCGCCTCATCCCAGTCTTCGTCGACCAGTTTTCCCTCCAGCAATGACCGGAAGGCACTCCAATTTCCTTTTCGAGTAAGGTAACGTGAGGGGTAAGGGGAAACTTCTGTATTTTCCGTCAGCCTAAAGGCTATCGCTTGGTGGTCGGAACTCGTCTCAGATCGGAGGACCCTATCGATAATGCGGTTTGCCAGCACCGGTGATACCAATGTAACATCAATCCAGCTCTGCCCCCTAGCGCTAGAGAACGTCGGGGTAGCAGAGGGATCGTTCATAACCACTAGATGGTTTCGGGCAATAAATTCACCGAGCTTAGCGCCCCTTCTATTAGTTCGATTAGATCCCCAGACCGTGTTCCAGGAGTTGGTATCTGAGCATATGATCACGTTCCTGGTGCAAGCCGTGATCATCTCCATGGCGGATATGTCTTCGTCAATATCGCCCCCGTCCGGTAAATATGATGAGACCAGCGTAAAGGCAACATGGTTCCATCTGATATGACAAGCAACACAATCCGCCATGGTAAACTGCCTCAGATCCATCACATCGAGGTTGGGGTTGTTAACCACAATAGCAGCCCTGGGCCTCCTCTCTCCACTGCTCAAGGCTATAACCCTCGATGTGAGACCAAACCCCGTGACCTTGTTTCCCCAGCAACTCGGTTCCTGGACTGCCATGATGTCGTAGCTTTGTGAGAGGGCGTAGCTCTTCCGCAACTAGACGCCGGCGGCCCATATTGAGCTGAAGGATGGAGATCTTATCATAAGAAGTCCTCATCGCCATTTTTTTGACCAATTTAAATGCACAGGACAATCACGACTGCCCGCCTTATGCTTAGTGTGCCTGGATGGGCCTTTGCCCTCACACAGTTGATGCATGTCGGCCCTGCCTGAGCTAGTTTTTTGGGGCACTCCTTGAGAAAATGACCAGTACCTGCACACCAGATGCAGACCAGTGCATCTGGACATGTGGCCTTAGAGTGCCCGTAGTCCTGACACTTGGTACAACGGGGGGCGTCGAGGTTATCTTCAAAGGTCATTGACCACCATCCTCCATTCAAGCATGCCATGTCTAATAGATGGAATCGTAGGGTTGGGTGCACTTCCAGCACCCAGTTTTTAGTTATTCCATTCCTTGCTGTAGATGAGAAAACAGGCCGAAGTCCATCGTTCACGAGCGAAGCTGGGATCGATTTATCAATTAGCTTTGCCCGTAAAAGCGTAATTAATGCCTCCGCAGTCCACGAATTGGGCACACCTTTAATTTCAAGCCTAGGTCGTTTCTTAAGTGCAAGCTTGGCCTCTAGTCCTACTTCTCGTAGACCCTGCCACCCAATAACTTTCGCCGCTTGGGAGCTATCTTCCATCCGTACTAAGACCGAGCCTCCCTTAGTAGCACGTACTATGGAGGCATTAACTCCTATTTCAGTAGGAGATGGCAGCCCACTGATGATTTCCACGGACTTTTACCGGGCCCACTAATTGTGACGTAGGTAGGTTTAGAGTTAGAATCTCTGCCGGCTTCAATGGCAGAGATTTTACGATATCTGCCATTGTGCTTGGCTTACTTCGTAATTGGGCTGAATCTTCAGGAGAGCATGACTGGTCGGCTTAATCGGTTATTTAAATTACTGCTACCTTGTTAGCTGCTTTGGTCCTCCTGCGGCTTCTTTTACTGACTACGACTTTGTAGGGTTCAGTAGCCGCTGAGGGTCCAGCCGGGCTTGCTTCTCTGATATCTGCTTGCTTCTCTTGAAGGACCGGCTTTGGCTAAGATTTGTGGTTGTGGTTCCACTCGAGCTGCCGTAAGTCCCTCAATAATTTTGGGCACCGTTTTTTCTATCACAAGTCGAGCAATCATCTCATGAATACTAGGAGTCGTAAGTGACTCATGAACCGCTTTTTGGATGAGCTCAGAAACGTCTTCATTTGTGTGTGCTTTTTACTTTTGTCATCTAGTGTTTCAATTATATCTATCAAGGTTAGAATTTTTTTATTTATATAATTTTGTACCTTGATATTCAACCCATTATCTGCCCGTTGAACATATACCCTGAATTCTCCTGGATTTTAAGGCCGATTGTAGTAAACTTTTAGCTGCAGCTCCTCCGAATTTGCCTCCAAATCAAGAGAACCCTTTCTTGCCCGTTTGGCATTTCGCTTGGAAACCTTTTGGGAACTGTCCTCTTCCATATCAATTACAATTGGGTCAACCATACTGTAAGAAAGTAGTAAACACTACAAAAATGATTTCAATTTATAGTACACTACAGTTTAGAGGTTAACTAGATACGTTTATTAAATGAAGGTTACCTTTCTATTATTGTCCAATGAAACTTGTATACAAGTTCTCTGATATAAGTTTTAGCTCTCGTAGGAACGATTAAGTCCAGAAAGTCTTCAACTACGAGAAGATGACGAACTCGTAGTTCCACTTAACCTTACTTAAAACTAAAAACTTATTTACAAAGGAAAACTCAAAAAAAAAAGAACAAGAAAACATAATGAACAATAAAATGGAAAACACTAGAACACGAACAATAACAAAATAAGTATATATACACCAGTCACAAGTCTAAACACAATACTTTGGAGAACCAATACGTTATCACCAATGACTATCACAATCGATCATCAAATCAGAGAGTTGTATCCAGTGAACCGTAATATGATGAACCCTCTTGAAGTGATATTAGATGAAAATATTAAATTTATGGAGAAGGAATTAAATATCTAGATGGTCAGGATAATAAGTTTAGTCGTCGATCATACTGGTAATAAGGTCATACAGTCGGAATACTTGTTGTAAATAGAATTATTTAATATGAGTAATTATTTTAAAGATGACTTAATTATAAGCTCATATTTCAATATTTCATGATCAAGTGAACTTTAACATTATTCAGACGGGATTTGGACAAGTTCCGGAGGAAACAAGTAGCTCGATTAGGAAGAACTTGACAAACGCAGCAGTACGGTCAGGACAGAAGTAGAAGTCAGAAGGACAAGAATAGGTGGTGTGGAGTTCGAATGGAACATTGGGATCGCAGACTCTGTTATGTTGAAAATGCGCTGTTTTTTGTTCGACAACCTGGAATAGGAAAACTGCAAGAAAATATTGACTACTTTAGAATTAGTAGTGCCACTATAAGTCGGCATAATAATGATTTATTTGCATGTGTGAATAGTGTCTCACGAACTATTCAAGGAAGCAGCCGGCTATGTTCCGGTTTATGGAGAGATAGGCAACTCGGTGAAGTGGAAGGCAGAAGTTAGAAGAACAGGATCGAATGAGATTGGATGGAATGGAAGCTTTCTCGTTCGAAAACGAGCAAGAATCAGCACAAAACTCAGAGAAGAGCGACTGAGTAATTTTCAAAAAAATAATTTCTAATAATAAATGGGATTTAGTATTTTTGTAACTTTTGATGAATATTACTGTTATCAACAAATATAATATATTTAATTTGATATATGTTTTCCAGGTGACCAAAATGCTAGTGACAATCGTGGTCCTCTTCTCCGTCTGCTGGCTACCCTTGCAGACCTTCGTCCTCTTGTTCTACTTCATACCCGGCTTTGGCAAGTTCTACACGGACGCTCAGCGGCGATTCTACGCGCTCTCCTATTTTGGATGCCTCTGGTTAGCCAATGCCAACAGCTTTGTCAATCCTCTGGTCTACAGCTTCATGAGCGAGAATTTCAGGGTAAGTATAAAATATTAGCACTAGTTATTAGAATTATTCATATATTCCACTTTATATCCACTCTAAAACATCTAAATTATTATCGTCACTAAATTCCATTTGAAACTTGTAGGCTCCTAGTCACCTCCTTAATTTTCCCCCACTTCGACTATTGCTGTACGGTGTATGGGGGCGTCTCTGGGGATCTCGAGGCGAAACTAAAACGTTTGATGAATTGCTTTGTACGATTCATCTTCGGGATCCCAAGGGACGCCACAGTTTCCCGTTTTTATGCAGAGTTGAAGTGGCCTTATCCTTCCTACCGTCGTAAATATTTCCTAGCATCCTTCCTCTATCAAGTCATCCAATCCCACCGTCCTTCATACATCTTTGAGCTCCTTCGATTCAAATCCTCTGTTCGTTCCCGCAATACTCGTTCCTGGTTTTCTGACTTACATACATAAGGGCCCACCGAACCGCTGCTTTCGACAGATCTTTCATTATCCGATCCTCATCCCTTTGGAACTCCATCCCCTCTCACATTCGTCAATCCAATACCCTTCCTACCTTTAAATCCCGCCTATTCAATCATTTCTTATCCATTCAGTCCCCATGAATTGTAAATAGATATTAATGTAAATATGTATATAAATTATTAGTTCGTTCTTCATTATTTTTACTTAATCCTTTTTTTTCAATTTTTTTATTTTTATTATTATGTCTGTTTAATTACTCTGTATTTTTATTTATGTATCTCTGAGGCTCCTTAGCCCATATTTATGTCTTGCTGTATTATTCTAAAGGAACTCGTCCCAGAACAAATAAAGTATTATTATTATGTCTGATGCATAAGATAAGTTGCTTTTATCGAGTCTGATAAACATGTAATGCACTCAGATAAGCTATTCCTTCATTATATCGTCAATAACTTCCTGATTTATCGTACGTATTTACCTATCTGCTATAACATCAGGGATGGATATCTATATAAACATATGATATGTCTACCACGTCATGTTTTATGATAAATACACATACTTAACTTGAAAAGATATACAAAGAGAAAAAAAATTATTACATTTAAAATTACGAGATCAGTAGGATGTCGCAAAATATATACCAAATTATAATATGATTATGGACATTTTACGGAAAAATAATACATTGAATGCATTCTGTGATAATTTTTCTTCTTAGACGAACTTACAGCCGTTGTCGGATCAGACTACAACATCGTGCTTTTTTTTAAATATGCTTCAACATCGGAAAATATTTTTGTTTTTAATGCTGCTTGACCAAATATTAAAGAGATTCAGAAGAGATTCATTTAAAAAAAAAAAACAATAATTAATTTTGTAAAACTGGCATTTGTATGCTTATGTATATATATAAACGATGCCAAATGCAGAGTACTAATACAAGGAGAAGCATCTAAAGTCTTTTAAAGTTCGAACAGGTTTGAGAACAGCAAACCCTTGAGAAAGTAATAAGAACAACATCACGCGAAGATGAAGGGGTGTACGTCGGAATTAAAAACAAAATCATACGCGGATGATATAGCTGTCCTCAGAAGCAATCAAGAGGATATTGAGAGACTCGATCGGACTCTGTTAAAAGAAGCAGAGAAAATCGGACTACAGGTCAATGTAGATAAAACAAAATACATGATAGTCAGCCGAAACATCCACCAAAATAATATGATCTGCGTGGAATCTAAGTCATTCCCGAAAGTACATAGATTCAAATATCTCGGTCCCACAATAACCTCAATAAACGATCAACTAACAAACAGATCAGCGAATAACAAGTGCGAACAGATCATTCTTCTCTCTTTCAAAGGTACTGAAATCCAGAAAAATCTCCAGAAATCTCAAAATAAGGTTGTGCAACGACGTGATAAAGCCAGTTCTGCTGTACGGCTGTGAAATCTGGGGTCTAACCGGCACACTAGAAGCCAGAATTGAGAGATTCGAAAGAAAATTCCTCCGTATGATAACAGAACCTGTCTGGGATCACAACCTCAACATATGGAGGAGAAGGAACAATAAACATCTGCTAAAAAAAAAAAGTGAATAAATATTTCATGATATGAAGGCAAGGAGATTCAGATGGGCGGGGCATGTAGCTTGAAGCAATCTACCAGGACGCCTTTACACAACAATGAATGCCAGAGTAGTAGACAAGAAATTTTTTTTTTTAATGCTGCTAGCAGTTTGTTTTATTTCTAAATTTAGTAGTGATTAAACAATTGTAAACATTTATTTTCTTTTTCTTTTGTTATTTTAAATTTGCTACAGCGTTGGAACGCATCAAGCAAATGTGTTGGCGTTAATTATATTTTCTTGAATTCCTGATATCTTCTTAACTTTTCAATTGATCTCTAGGCCACTTTAACTATTAACATTTAACTATAAAAATATTCAATGTTAGCGCGTCATGATAATACTTATTATTTTTATGAATGAAAGAATGATATTTTATTTAGTCTCGAAGAAGATTAAAGCTTTTTGAAGTTGGGCAAATAAGTGGAATATGTCGTCATAGTATATTTTTGATAGGAGCTGGTTTACGTATTTTATCAACTGACTATTCTGATAAAAAATATCGTCTTATATAAAAATTAAATTGATATTTATAATTCAACTCTAAAGAACACGGACTATAAGATTATTCTTCTTATCTTCTACATTAATAAAATTAGCATTTCTTATCACAATGACAAACGTGAATAGAGGTTACATCCTTTGATAAGATACATGAATATTTTCGTGATGATGTTTATCAACTTGCTGAGGTAAATTTTTATTTATTTATTTTATAAAATAAAATTTAATTTAATTATAACAAAGCTTATTGTAGGACTTTAATCGTGAATACTCTCCTGAAACTGCGTGATGAATGTTGGTCATTATGCAAATATAAAAAAAAAAGGAACTCATTAACCTCTGACCTTTCGAAGTTCAACTTTCAACAAGTGTATAAAAGTTTTCATAACCAGGTTATTCTGTCAGAAATGAGCTAGTGATAAATCAGAAGCTATTTACGTTTCATCATATTTTTCGAGCAATGTTATTACGCGATTAAAATTTCTGGTAGAAAAAAAATTTAGAAAACAATACAAACTAGATAATAGTACTAGAAAAATAAGAAGATATATAAAATAATATTTTAAAACTTGAGGTGATTCCTCATAACTCCTTTAACTCCACTTGAAGCTGCCGTAAAGGAATATTTGAAAATGACCCTTAGTATGGTCGAAACGTCAAATTAATGCGTACCATTAATGTTGGTGAAAATTGGTCTATTTTATTGTATAAAAATAAAAAACTTCAAGACACCAAAAGTAGGAAAAATGAACAGAAAAAATAAAATAAATAATTTTTTCATTCGTTAATATCTCCCTTGCATTTTCATACGCCTAATTCATATTTTGCGATTTCTCATGAAAAGAATAATATTTTTATGACGACTCAAATTTTTTTTATTGTTAATTTTTGCTATCCTTTTTTTTAATATTTAATAATTAATACAATAGTATGTAAAAATAATGGCAATATTCATAGTGAAAAAACTGTTCATTCACACCATATTTAGAGAAAATAATACTACCTTTTCTGTGAGCGTTTTTTCTATTTAATCTTTTAGATATTTTGCCGCCTTAACTAGCTTTTACTATCTCTGTCTATTTCAGGCTATTTCTATCCAGTCATCTGTATGCATCTGTATTGCATCTTCATCGATTCAATCAATCTGGTTTTATATCCATCGATTTTTTTCGCCTTTCACGTGGTCTTTTGATTGATTTTGGGATTAAGGCATCCATTTATTACTACTCTGTCAACTTTGTTAATGAATTCGATCAGATGTCAAATGGATAAAGGTATTATAACGGATAAAGAAATAGAACTTATCGAAGAATTTATTTAAATGTCACCTATCTGTTCATAGGATAAAGATAAGGGAGTTAGCTGGTTCGAATCCCGGCCGTAACAAAAAAAAAAATTATTTATTCTGTTCCATCAGCCGTGGGGCGACCGTGGATTCAGGAGATTCTCCTGGGGCACATACACCCGGCTTCTATAAAGTGGGTACCATTAATTGACTAATTAATAAAGGGAGAAAACCTGACGGTTGAGCGTGATCTCGGTCATATCATCAACTTGGACAACCGTTGATCAAGAAACTATTCTCTCAAAATAATACCGAACCCAAGAACCATGGGTTGTAGTGGTACAGAAAAAAAAGTATGATTTTTTAATAATTTTAATTATAATTTTATATTGGTACTGGATAATGACTTGATAATGTTTGGAAACGTGAGTACAATTGTAAATACAATATATATATGTCAAACGAATTCATATGATAATATGTCCAAAATATAATTACGTTTCATAAAATTTAACGAAATACATTTAAAAATATCCATGCATAATTATTTTTTTGATTCGTCCTTCTGTATCCATTTTACTGTAAAAGGTAATCAAGAAAAAACATAGTTATATTAATCTAACAAGAAAATCAGAATTTAGGATTGTTTATTTGTTAATGAGATTTTAACGTGAATGAAAAAGGATGCGATAACTAGTTTTTACTAACATGTTTCAGACCAAACGTGCAAAGGAGTGACTATTCTACTGGATGAATTAATTCCTAAATAATTCAACTGTCACACTCTCACGATAGTGAAGGGATAAATGGTAGAGGAGGGGGCCACTTCTTCTATTCCATCCGAATAATGGTTCCAGTAATCTAGTCTATTCAACACGTTAATAGAATCTTCACGATCCAGTATATTTCAACCAGCTCCTTGAATAAATAAACGGACTTGGGAGAATACAAGAAGCTAATGAATACATTAGAAAATTATGTGGAAATAAATTAAAACCACGAAATTTCTATAAATGTATAAAATCAATAAATTGTTTTATTATTTTTAAGTTTATTATTTTTGTTATAATAGTTACAAGAGCTGTAATTTTATTTTTTTTTGTTCATTTAGAAATATGATAATCTATCTGTATAAAATATACAGAAAACATAAAATTAACAAAAGTAAAATAATAACTAAATAATAATAAAACAACTATGTACAACAAAAAGTAAAATAACCTAAAGATAAGTAAATTAAAAACATAAAAACTCAGTCATACCCTACAATCAGTTAGGGAACCCCAAGCCAGGCTTGTCCCTCCAACTATAGAGGGAAATGCAGGAATCCAAAAGATCCCTGCGCTACTCTCTCAACCGCGTCACTGGTGCGAAAGCCAGTGATGATTGAGCGAGAACGCTATAGCCACATACACTCATGTCTTGAGTGGAGAATCCGGCTATTGTCAGAACTCCATGATATATACTAAAAAAGATCTCTGAGCCACTGCCGCTTCAACCTTCGAGGAGGATTGTTGGGATGAGTGGAACTAGATAGGGATTGTACAATCGGATTTGGATGATTGATAAGGTTCTGATGCAACTTGGAAAAATTTTCAGGGATAAGGTCTAGGACAAATGGAATACTATGGTCATGATGTAGGGTTTTGTTGGTTACATAGAACGGAGCATCGACTATTGCTTTCTCCCAAAGTTCAAGTCCGTAGGTCCAAATAGGTTTCACGATTGTATATCAGTAATTCGTTGTCAATTGAAAGTTGAGATTTTCTATTCAGGAGTCTGTATAATTGGCCGTGTCGTCTGTTAATTTCTTGTCTTTTAAGTCTAGTATGTGGGTTCCACGTTATTCTTCGGTCTAAGATAAAGCCAAGATACAGGAATGTGTCTGAAAAAGGAAGATGGGTGGAATTAAAGTGGACTGACTGGTGGACAGGATCTGCGCCGGTGTGTTAAGGTAAAGTGTTTGTATTTGGATTAGTTTACTTTGATGCGCAATTTATTACACCAGTGCTCAATCAGGAAGAGGTACCTTTGAAGAGGTGCAGATTTAAAGATGCGATTTCGGGATCTGAGTTGTTCTTGATAAAGGTTGGAAATAAATCGAAATATCGTAGAGGTAATCAAAGAAAAGAGAATCAGATGGTATGGCCATGTGAGACAAATGAGCGACGATAGGATACCAAAGATAATTATGGATTGGGAGGCACAAGGTAGAAGAAAGAGAGGAATGCTCCCAGTTAGATGGAAGGATAGAGTGGTGGAGAGTATAGCTGATAAAGGACTGTCGGAGGAGGACACGACGGACCGGTCGAAAAAAACTTCATATTGAAGAAACTCCTAAATAAAAAAAAATAATAAACCGATAAAGCAGAACACACAATAAACTAGAAAAACATCAGTTGACAAATAAGAGAATCGATTAATGTTCTATAAACAGTTAAAATCAAATAACTATAACAAAGAACAAAAATATATTTTCAAAATAGTAAGCCATAAAATAAATATAATTTTTTATCATAGAATGTATAATACTGTGGTATTTGTTAGTAGATATACTATACTATAAATATATAAAGAAATAGGATAACTTCGTTCAAAGAATCGGTTATTTCTAGAGGTACATTTTTTTTTTAGGACCTTTGGTATGGAACCGTTTTATTCCGCAAAGGATCCTATCTGGGACTTGAACTAAGCCCTGCCGTTTCTTTTAAGACCTGCGAGGACTTGGAATGATACTTGATGCAAAAGTTCTGAGCAATATCCCTTTTGTCAATGCTCGAAGGAACTTGAGAATTTTCTACGAACCTTGTCCTAGGGGAGACCTCGAGGGGAAAATGTAATAATTTAAATTCAAAGCATAAGTTATCCACTCTAACTTAACCAGAAGTTTGTTAATTTATTTTCATAGACTTGATGCGATGTAGCAATATCTTAATAATGAAATAGGTATTTATACATAATTAACATATATATAATACTAATTCGTATTTTTTGTGTTTATTTATTATAATTTTTTTTTTTTTACTTAGAAGTGAAGCAAAAAAATAAATAAAAAAAAATAGAAATTTTTTAATATTTAAGTTAACTTTTAATTTTTAGTTCACAAAATTGTTGAAAATATGAATCTAAAAAGGTTTATTATTTCGAAATTTTAATGACGAACACTAAAAAAAATTAAACAAAAAAAACAACTAATAAGTAGGTGAAATATGTAAAACACTAGATCAATTAATATCATATATATCAAATTAATATAATATATATCACCAGGGACTTCTCTTTAAACTCAAAATTATACTACGCCATACTAAATAATTATTCAGTCTTTCCTTTTCGGCAGAGTTTTCTCTGTCCGACAGGGTTTAGAAATTTCCTCAATTCGACCAGTGTCAGCAGGAGTACCTCAAGGATCAATATTGGCTCCTTTACTTTACATTATCTATAAGCATTACATGCCTACCACCACCGAAACATTGACTGCTACTTACGCTGACGATACAACAATTTTAACAAAACACCATTTAACAAACGCAACACATTTAGGGCCATAGCAATTTCTCGCACTGATTACATGGGATTTTGAACAATAATGGCCTTAACAATGCTCGTTTCAACTTCATGTGACCAGACCGTTGAGCATCATTTATATCAAAATTTTCTGAATGAAATTTGGCAAACCAATTTTGACAGGTGCGTCCGGTTAATGCATCATCCCCATAAATACTGCAAATTTTTCTCTGAGCTTCTGCATCATACTGACTTTTTTAAAAATAATACAACAAAATATGCCGATAGTGAATGATATTTTCTTCCATATTCACAGTGAAATAACAAACACAATACTAAGCTAGTTTCAACAAGAATGAACAGATATAGTTGTTGACATATTACAAACAGGATAAACAATTCACCTTAGGAATTAATCCATCAGATAAGAAGTGTATCATAGGGATATAAAAATAAACAAAATAAAAAGTAAAACCGAAAGTACTTATTTGCCAACCCAATATTTCTTTAATTAGGTATTTAAATTTAGTTTAATTTGTTTTCTATAAACATTTTATTTGGGCCTGTCAATTTTTTTTAACAATCAGCAAATGTGCTGGAAATACAAGATATAAATGACATATCAGGCAGGGGAAGGAAAATAATAGCAGTACCTCTTCCTTTTTTTCTTTCGATAACATTGGCTGTTTAAGGAAGAAGATCTCTCATCCAACGCCTTTTCAGTATCCTCCTCATGTTATAGGGTATGTCAGCTGTGGCAATGTCTCTAATTAATCTGTTTTTATGTCCGTTTAAATTGGAATAAAATCGTTGGTAGAGGGTCCTTAAATGTAGGTCAACTGTTGGTAGTTGGACGTCAATATTTAGAGTTCAATAAATTCCAATGAATAAAGCCTTCATTTATAACATATTTTTTATTTATTATTTTAACGGAATTAAAATGAAATATAAACATTATGAACAACAAAATACCAGTAAATGAGAGAAGAAAAAAAAATCTTGGTTGATTCTGAACAAAGCTCACAATTGAACAAAGGCCACTCCTACCTTTTGCCAATCTTCTTTTGAATTAACTTTCGTCGCCAAGCCTATGCCTGTTACATTAGTTATGGTGTCTCTCTTTCTCATCAGTTCTCTTTTTATTCTTCTTTTAGCATGGAATTGCCACCATTTCGTCATTTGTTTCATCTATTTCTCTTAGGCCATCCGTGCAACCCATTACCATTTTACTTTTAAAATCACCGCTTTTGTGCCCTTATCCTTAGATTTGTGCCTTATTTCTAATTTTTTTTTTTAACCTAGCACTTAATTTTATATCAATTATACTTCTCTATATTTTTTTTTAGTAAATTTTAGTTCATTTATATACATACTTCTCTCTATTATATAAAAAAGTTTTTAATGACTGCCATTTTTTATTTTATTGCAGTAATAGGCGAGTAGGAAATAACAGCAGCTCAACTTTTCATCACAACCCTCTAGGCTGCTCTCCTATGGCCATCATTTTACAGATTATACAGCTTTTTTTTTGTTCTAAACATCTAGCCACCGAAATGGACTACTGGAGACGAGCGGCGGTAATATCCAGAATGGATAAAGTCAGAAATACGACCATCAGAGGAAAGACGGAGGCTAAAAGAACCATTCTTAACTTAAACTTAAACGCCTAATGAATTGCGCACTACGATTTGTTTTCGGAATCTCAAGGGATACGCATATTACCCAGTATTACACTGAGTTGAGGTGGCTCTACCCATCCAATCGCCGTCAGTACTTCCTAGCCACCTTTCTGTACTAAATCATTAGAACTCATCGAGCCCTATATTTTTCACAGCTTACAATTCAAATACTCCATCCAATCCCGTCCCACCAGATCTCGTACTTCCGACCTCTATCCTCCTCCTCACCGAACTGCTGCGTTTGACAAATCATTTGCAATACAAGCCACCTCTCTCTGGAATTCCATCCCTGCTGATATTCGACACGCTCAATCAGTTTCCTCTTTCAAACCTCTCCTCTTTAAGCACCTACTCCTTTCTCAATCCGACTGATTGTGAAATATACTTAAGAGAAATATCTAAGCACCGCCAGAGACTACCTCAATTTATTAAGATTATTTTAGTTTCTCATATATATATATGTACAATTTACTTGTTCTTTTCTTTCTCTTTTCAGTATTTTTATCTCAAGTCAACTCTTATTGTAAATATACAGTCTAATTGTAACCACACAGACATACAATCTGTATTTATATTTTGTTCTTAAGGGACAACAGTCCCAGAATAATAACATATTTTTTCATTCATTCATTCAGTATGTAAGAGATTGAGATAAAACGCCTGAAATTTGAAAAGAATGCCTGAAGGAAGACTACACGAAGAAGTCCACTTATGGAAAACTAGGGAAAGGAGAAGACGAGGAAGACCAAGGAAGACCTGGGATAGCGAAGTGGAGGAATCCATTATGGGTCATGGTCTACGGGAAGAATGGACCTTAGATAGGACATTATGGAAAGAAGCCATCCAAAGTTTAGGTTAAGGAAGCCCACTATCAGTGGAAACTCCTAATAATAAAAAATACAGCTTTTTATTTAATTACATATGTTTTGAGCTGCTGTAGCCTCCCATTCTCATAATATTCATCTGGAGAGGGTAGTTTGATTTTACCTAGGTGGCAGCAGTTATTTCTCTACCAAGACATTTTCCCTAATAATAAAATATATTTTTTTTTATTACTTTTTTATTTTATATTTGTTTATTTAGAAATATTACATTCTGTCACATCAAGGACATTTATAATAGTGTTCAGAGAAAGCACACTCACACTCTAATAAACAAAAGAACTAACCTAATCATACACACTCGGGCTTGAGTGGAGGATCTGGCCATTGCCAAAACTCCAATAGATGCTTATTTATAAAAGGTCTCTGGGCCACTGCCGCTTCAACCTTCGAGGAGGATTGTAAGGATGGGTGATGCTGGATAGAGATTGTGCAAGGGGATTTGGATGATAGGTAAGGTTCTGGTGAAATTTGGAGAATTTTTCTGGAATAAGGTCTAGGCCAAATGGGATATTAAGGTCATGATGTAGGATTTTGTTATTTACATAGAACGGAGCATCAACTATTGTTCGAAGGACTTTAGATTGAAAAGATTGAATACGTTTGATTTTAGAAGCTTTTGCTGTCCCCCACAGTTCAAGTCCGTATGTCCATATAGGTTTCAGTATTGTCTTGTAGATAAGTAATTTGTTTTCAATAGAAAGTTTGGATTTTCTGTTTAGTAGTCTGTATAGGTGGCCGTATCGTCAGTTGAGTTCTTGTCTTTTGAGTCTAGTATGTGGGTTCCATGTTAGTCTTCGGTCTAAATGAAAGCCAAGATACCGGACTGTGTCTGAGTAAGGAAGCTGGATGGAATTAAAGTGTACTGGTGGACAGGAATTGCGTCGGAGTCTAAAGGTAATATGTTGGCATTTAGATTCATTAACTTTAATGCGCCAGTTATTACACCAGTGCTCAATCAAGGTGAGGTGGTTTTGGAAATTTAAGGATGCTATGTTGGGATCTGAGTCGGACAAATAAAATAAATAAAATATATAAATTATTGTATTATAATTACAATTATTATGAAATAGAAAAGGAAGTACAATATGACGTACAATGAAAATATTAGATATAAAAGGTTCAAATTATTGTTGGACTTATATGAAACTGGACAAGTTGAATATATATTATGGTTACAAACTGGCATTATAATTGTATAATAATATAAATTGCCAATGAGGCGCGATGTATAATATAGATTTTTAATGAAATTAAAAATTTGTTCCAACTGTAGTTTGGTTTTATTTTGATAAACAATAACACGTGTAAATTATAGTTATACAATTTGAGTAACGATTAGTAAAATTAAATGAAACATTGTATATTTTGCAAAATGGGAGTTGGTCCACCGTTAGGCGGGCAGGAGTTACCATCCCTATTACATTTATAATTATATAATTGAAGGAAGTTAGCCACTGTTCTACGTATCACTCATTATAATTATATATATATATAACTAAGTATAAAATTATATTGTTCGTTTCCGAATATTCATGTATGTTGAGGAGAAGCTTTAAGCCGACACTATAGGCCGACAGGGTTGTCTCCTTGAAATAAAGAACGTGTGAGGGTTTGGTTATGTTGGTATAACACGTGGAATGGATCGTAAATCAGCCTTGTTATT